CCAAAAATGGAAAAACACGCGTGTAAGATTACAAAAGTGCAAGGTCTAAAACAGCTATTAACCCGAAAATCAAAAAAAACGAAAAGGGAGTAAAACGAAGTCGTTTTGAACAGTGCCAAAACGATACCTTTTTGGCCTGAATACTTAACCCTAAATTGAGGCTTCTATTTTCATTTCCTTTTATTTGGTTTCATTAGGGGCGAGAGAAGAGAGAGAGAGTTCTCTGGAACTCTCTCAGACAAAGTAAGGATGGCCACTGTGGCCGGAGGCTCCCACGGTCGGGCCTGTGGCGGTGCACGACAGTCGAAGAAGTGTAACTAACCCCAAACAAACCCTTTCCTCGCCCTCTACTCAGATCTTACACTATTTTAACCTAACAATAGCCCGATAACCCTAGATCTATGATTTACCTCACGGCTGCTTCGAAGAACGATGGCCTTTTCGACTTTCAGCTAACCCCGATCTAAGGTATGGTTCCCCTTTTTCTCTCTCTCGGTTTTTACTTTTATTTGGCTTTTTTTCTATACTATCTCTCATTTTTTTAACCCCCGATCTCTCTATTGATTCCCCCCTTTTGCGTCTGATTGGTGATGGTTATTGATAGAGTTATTTTCTTCCCGAGGAAATAGGGATTGAGTGCCCTAGATTTGTAGACCCGATTTTCCTCGGGATCTCTTGTCCTTGCTTCCTTTTTTCTATTTCTCTGACTTGGATTGATTTGGTGACTGATGAATGCATTTGTCGAGGGTCGAGATGGCTAAGTGGCTCGGGAAACAAACGGCAGTGGCTCACGAGCTCAGGAGTGAGGCAGTGTAGTGCATGCGCCAGGGAAGCTGAAGAGTCGGTTGCGTGACTGGATGTTGATACCTTAGGGTTAGGGTTTAGTTGGGCCAGTTCGATTATGCTTGTAGTGGTTTGCATCTGGGCCTACTGGTTGGTCTGGTTAGCTGGGTATGTTGAATGATTGATGTTGTAGTTGGGTTGGGCTTGTACTTAAGGCCTACAAAAAATGTAATTTATATATTAATAAAACAAATAATAATAGAATAATAATAGATAAAAATAAATAGAAAAGACCCGGACAAAAACGGGTGTCTACACCTTCATTGAAAAACTTTCTTGCTCAACGCCGTGATGGTCGCCTTGTCCTCACCTTTGTCAATACCAGTACTATCAATGATATCGATCAACAAGTAATGGAAGTGGAAGAGCTAGAAGAAGAGTTTGAAAGCTTCGGAGAAGAATAAAGTGAAGAAGAAGAAGAGGAGGAGGAGGAGGAGGAAAGTGAAGATGGGCGTTGTGAGATTGAACAGGCTCCTAAAGTGTCAAGTGGAGCAATAAACGTGAACGGGTTAGCAGTAATGATGAACAAACATGTATGGTTAGTAAACAGGAACCCTGCATGGCCTAAACCAACAACCCCACCAGTAGCACAGTCATTGCCTCCAAGTCCACCGGTGGCTAGGACAATATCGACGCCACCATCGAAGGCGGTAGCCGAAGCAGGAGCAGCTGCATCATTCAATGCTTATGAGTACTACTGGAGGAGGCCTGATCAGGGCTTGTCAATGAACAAGAAGTAGCTGGTTCTCTCACGAAGCCTAACAGGCAATAAAGAAGAACAAGGGAAGATTAAAAGTGATTGTTTTGTTCCATTGTTAAAAGGAAGCAAGGAACCAAGGAGGACCCCTCTCTTCTGGGAACCCTATTGCATTGCCACTTCCTGATGATCATCAAACTCCATGTTCAAATTATGCCTATAAGTATCGTTCTTATTATTATTATTATTATATTATTATTATTATTATTATTATTATTATTATTATTATTATTATTACCTTTTTCTCTCTCTAGTTTTTTCCACATCCACTCTTTGAGGAGGGTGACTGTGTAGTCAAAATTTCTAATAAAAAGAATTTGAGGAGAGAAATGAATACTTTTTGGAAACTTTTAGAAGATTGAGATTTGAGAAATATATAAAAATACTATGTAATTTTGTATTTTGAGTCTCTTTCCCTATTTGTAGTTAAAAGAAAATATTTATAATTAAACACATCACCTTTGAAATTGGAGGACTATTTAGGGATGGCGACCAAACAGGTTTATAGCCGCCCCAATTGAAAATTGAAAATTTTTTAAATCAATTTTAATATGATTTATTCCGAGTTGATCCTAATTTGATATTAATGAAAGTAGTTTTAAAAAATACAATGAAAGTATAATTTAGTATTCACAAAAAATAGTATAATTTATTAAAATTTTAATAAAAATTTAACTAAATATAACTTGACCCCCAAAAATTTAATAAAAAATAATGGGTAATCTATGTCAAATACCACTCATCTTTAAGCTCGGGCCCGAAAATGGCATCGACGTTTCAATTTTGCCAATTTTAGCACGGACATTTATGTTTCACTGCAATTTGCCACTCCGCCGTTAATCTGTTAACGGGACGATGACATGGCTCCCTCATCAAAACGACGTCGTTTTGGCACGACCGTCTTAATGCTCAAAACGACATCGTTTTGTTGATGAAAATTATGTTTTTAATGGGATTTGAACCTTAGACCTTTATAATTCAAATCAAAATACCCAACCACCAAACTAACTTAAGAATTTTGTATAACCTTAACAAAACTATTATAAATGTTCATCAAAACGACAGCTTCCAAGGTCAATGTGATCCTACTTAATAATTGTTTCAGTCACTTGTTCTCTTTAAACATAATTTTTTATTACCGTACAACGTTATTCTTAGCTTGTGAAACATTTATTTTTCACCGTTCCAAAATAATAGTTCTTATTTTAATGTTGAATCATTTTTATCTAAATCGATTCCAAGTTATCAGAGTTATAGCCTCTATATGCATCTCCAACAGCAGCAGGACCAGCAATGCTACCAAAACCATGGGGATTATTACCAGTATGAGGATAATAGTCCATCATTGCCTGCTGGTATTGTTGTTGTCGTGCAAGATATTCCTTTCGTAAGAACTCATCTCTGTGATTGGCGTGCCGTGCTCGAAGTGCTGTTAGCTGTTCCTGATATTGAATATTGATTGCATTTATTTTCTGAAAATTTAAAAACAAAATCGTTACCACTATGCAAAACCTATGCAATATTGTTGAAAACAAGGTTAACCAAGGAACATCTAAGAAGTGGAAAGGTGTCTGAGAACAAGAATGCATATTGCCAGTTTACTTCAATAAATAACTAAGCTTCCCTCTACAAAGGCATCATTTATGTCAAATGCAGTCGCATGCAATCAATTACTTTCGATAAGTTACCTTGCAAGCTTAGATTGGAAGAGCATACCTGAAGAATAGCCCCTCTCAAATACACCCTATTAAATAAAGCCAACCCTTTAGACAAAGGTGGCAACTATAAATGACTAGTTCGTTCATATAAACTGCCTGTCCAGAATAACAGCAAGAACAGCCCAGAAAGTTGCATATTTTACATGCACAACTGCCAAGCAAAGGAGAAAATACCGACTAAAACATTATGATGTAAAAGTTTCAGTTTTTTAGAAAACTACTGCTTTTAGAATTTGCATTCTGATTGCCTAGCGCAAACAGACAAACATGTATAATAGTTTTGTTAAAATTATACTAAATTCTTAAGTTAGCTTGGTGGTTGGGTATTTCGATTTGGATTCTAAAGGTCTATGGTTCAAATCCCATGGAAAATATAATTTTCATAAACAAAACGACGTCGTTTTGAGCTTTTCGAGCATTAAAACGATTGTGCCAAAACGACGTCGTTTTGATGAGGGAGCCATGTCATCGTCCCGTTAACGGATTAACGGCGGAGTGACAAAATTGCAGTGAAATATAAAAGTCCGTGCTAAAATTGGCAAAATTAAAACGTGCATTTTCGAGCCCGAGCTTAAAGATGAGTGGTATTTGACATAGATTACCTAAAAATAATATATATATAATATAAAAATGCTTAAATAAACATATTAAAATGAATCGGGATAAATTTCTCTAAATTTAACTTTAAAAAATTTAATAAAAATTCACTTTAATTTATAATTAAAAAATAGAAAATATGATCTCAATGGGATCAAATCAAAACACATCAAGATAAAATTAAAAAAAAACAAATACTATCCCTCAATCTGTCCAGCCTGGGTTTATTCGTCTTTAGAATATGACTTTCTTTTAATTGGTTTTGCAAACTCTAAGCCAATGGGGTTTAAGCATTAGTCTTGGTTGGCCTAACTGTTATTAATTTTGGGGACAAGATTGTTACATGTTGATACTTTGGCTCGGCTTTGCTCCTTTCATGTCTAGATTCAGGGATCATTGATATTTTTTTAAAGAAAAAAATGAAAATAGAGGTATTTAAATACAAATTTTTAAACTCACTCGCTCAGACAAAATCCCTACACACTTGTATTCGTATTAATGCATGTCCACGTCCAACACCAACATATGAAAAAAGTATCTGTTTTTTATTCACAAAATCCAAAACCAAGATAATATTGAATCCCGATTTGGAAATGAAATTTACAACCAAAACTTGTGAAATTTTCAGGGTCAGTTTGTCATCTTCACACAAGCATTACATCACAACAGAAATATTAGAATTACACCAACCAACACCCCTTCATACAAGCAACGCCATCATCACATATAACCAACACAAAGGGGGTAAAAATATATTAGACATAAAACAAGGAATATTAAAAAAATGTGAAAAATACTAAACACCACCAACCCATTTGAAGAAACCACCCGACTGACCGACTTCTACCTGCCATTTTACAGGGGGAGAAGCCCCAATTTTGCAACTTTCGGCACATGCCGGAAAAGGAAACCAAAGCCGCCCACAATCCGCTTCTCTAACTTAAACATTCGTACTATCAACGCACAGTGCGATTTGGTTCCCGAACTTTGCATCTTTCATACTCCCAAGGTCTACCTTGTGCTGAAGACGGGCGAAAAACCAAAGCCGAAGCCTTCAAACTGTGTTATGAGAGAGATAACAAGTTCGGAAATGCCTGTATTTGGGCATCATGCTCTTATACAGAACAGTGGAATCACCATGCGCCAACAAGAGCCTGAATGAGCATATAGAGACAATTGGAAGGGTCTATTATATCCAAGCGAGAGAGCCCCGATCACTTGCCACTTGAGGACAACCTCTAGTAAGCGTTGGAGGTCTGTTAGCATTCAACTCCTGATCCCATAGATTAAAATAATCTATATAAGAAGCTATGCGCTTAGTAAGTAAAAAGGATACAGAAATAACAAGGGGGAAGAGGTATGACACCTGCATCCATGTATTTTCTATATGACGTTCTGGTGACGCTTCTGGCGATAACATTGCTGGGGGTAAAGGATGAATGAGTTTTGGAACTACCACTAGATCTCTACCCAAAACTAAGATTGCACCAGCGTTGTTCGCAGTGCCTGAAAAATCATGCATGAAACAAAATTTAAAGGCTAAATTGTTTGAACCTGACAAATTGTATGTATACTAAAGCAAGGGCCAGGAACACACCGCAATAATTGGTTGCCGAGAAAAGAGTGATTAAATGTCCCTGGGCAAAACGCTCTAAGCCATCCATAACACATTCGTGAGCATGAACAATCAACTGAAGATCATTGTTATTACAGAAATCCATAACACGATCAGGCTGCAACAGTAAAAGCCATTTACATAAGCATAAAAAGAAAAATCAACAATGAAGTAACCAGAAAACACAGTTTTACTAGAAATGAAACTGCACAAGTGGGACAAGGAACACAAGCTGTTTGTTAGAGAGAGAGAGAGAGAGAATAAATTATAAAGTGGCATCAGACCTAGGATATTGAAATCAAAGAAAAATGCAGCTAGAAAGGACTTAAAAGTTATAAGCTTGCAAGTTTAAGAAAAGGTTTTTAAAGTTGCGCACACACCCCAAAAGTAACCAACCCCGGACCTCTAGCATTTGGCCGCAACCCTTCCACACTATCATTTTCTGTTGGATCAGACCTAAAATATAAAATGGCAGTAAAATGCATCAGCAAATTAAAGCAATGAATATTATATTTCATGACTAAAACAAAACATTAATATGCTCTGACTTAAGTTCATAGGTAAAAACTTACAGAACGCCGACGACTGTTAAAGTATAGGGTTTATAGGTAGGAACAAAGGAATCAAGGGTGTGGAGGTAGAAATTCTTTGCACAAATAGAAACTGGTCAATTAATGTTATAAAGAGCTCACTTTCTTGTTAATATTGCCCATCATATATCCTTAGCTTAAAATCATTTATCTATGTTTTATGGTTTAAATTCGAAATTCACGGTATCTTTGTCAACAATGAAATCTGAATTTTACCATATAACAAGATACAGACGATGTCATGCAGTTATTGTTAAAACTGTAAAATTTACAAACCAGACTTAAAAAATTGTTTGTTGATTCACACAAATAACAAGTGGGTTTTGTTACATTTTATCACAGCTCATTACAGCATCAACATATGAAACCAACCCACCTTATTGACTTATTCACATGACAAACCAAGCCTACCCAATCTCAACTCTGCCATGAAGATGGAGCTACGCTCCCCGCCTCAGCTGTAACTCAATACGCATGCTAACACAAGACCTGGGTGGATGGAAACCAATTTGGTTTGTCTTCAAGATACTTCCTTAAATATCAAAAGCCTGTGACATATTTGTTGCAGGATTCGAGTCCCCCCCTTGTCCGTTGGACTTGGACATGTCCTTTATCGGCTTGTGAGAGCCTGGTGTTGCTTTTGCAGCAGTTCTGCCAGGCCTGCTGGTTTCAGTTCCGTTACCTCCCCCTGCTCAAATCAAATCATTGAAACAAGAAATTAGCGAAATGCATTATCCCAACGTGAACAACAAAGATAATCATTGGGCTTCATGGAATAATGTTTCAGAGCTACATTCTTACACCATTCAATTCTTTTGACGAGAACCGGCATAAACCAGAAAATTTAATGTTAAAAATTAGGGAACAGACTGTTAAAATTATCTCGCATTCACCATAGGCAACAACCTCCACTTTATTCTCCATAAGAGGGTTACATCAGGGAGAATATACCTATATCTTTTGGAACTTACCACTGTTAGGTAGAGACAATCTCTTCTTTGGCTGTTTATCTGACTTTAAGGTCCTCTCATTAGGATTGCTTCTAGATCTTGAAGTTATAGTATGTATTGTGCCAGCTTCTTCAACCAAATCTTCAAGGACTGGTTTGGATATTGGCTTGGAAGATAATGCATTGACCGTTTCTAGCACGTTTGCTGACTTTCCAGGAGAAGAATCACTCCCTCCAGAATACGATGGACCTGTCTTTAGATTAGCACGAAGATTTGATGCAGCTGGCAACAGGATAGCAGGTTTTATCTGAGAATTGGCACCATTGTTTCCCTCTGAAGAACCATCCTTGCATATCATTACTCCATCTCGAAGATTAATGTCGAGAAAACGATTCTCCCATGGACGTACAGCCATCCACCTTTCCAGCCAGTTCCAACCCCAGCTGCTTTTGTCTGGTTCAAACCCTGCAGGCATAGACTGCTGTCTTGATCCTGCCTGCCACTGCACAAACAGGTCTCAACTCTTTAACACTAGCTAAAATGAGACCAGCCATTGACATGGTTATAAGAGATCAGTACAAGCGGACAATCAAAGAATCAGGTGATTAGTAGAAGTGAAGCAGCTTTATACAAGATCTTGGCATCCAACATCAACTGTCAGAGGTGGTTGATGCTAATAACAAAGGCTTAATAGATGAGATATTGACCGGTTAACAATATTAACCATGAACAAAACTGAATTTTTGAACAGCAGATGTTCAACCCTCAAGAACATTGACAAAAAAGAACATGAGAATGATGCAAATGTGATTATCAAGAAGAATCAAACAATAACAATTATTTATATATTGGGGGAGGGGGGAGAGAAAATGCATGATTTTACTTCAAAATATGGATTCCTTTCAATTTTCATTTAATTTTTCTAGTCATTTGTGCATATTGGATTAATTTATTATATCATTTTATTTTATAGCAAATTGTTAAATTTCCATCAGTAAACAACAAAACAAAAATAGCAAAAAATAAGACAGCCCAAGTATCCACAACCTTCCTATTTCTCTCTCTTTCTATATATATTCTCCGTTGATAATAAAAAGAACAGCTTTTACACTGAGCTCTCTCGTTATCATTCCAATGATACCTATTCTTAGGGATGAGTTCTTCAATAAATGCACAAAATTGAAGAGAATCACATGCAATTATTGAATGGAAAACCATAGATATATCAAATATAGTGGTAATAGGAGCAAGATTTTGCGCAGAAATATACTGATCAAATTTTTAAAAAGTGGAGGTCAAATAAAAAAAATGAGGAAAGACAGCCAAGAGAATTTTATTAGATGGTTTCAAGACTTATCAAAAGCTCCAAGAACAATAAGCAAGCTTGAGCATGTCATAGCTATTCATTTTACCATATCTAACTCAACTGATATAGTAAAATTCACTTCAATTTAATAGGTGTATTGCAACATTGAAAACCTTTTCTCCTTCGTGCAATCTGAGCACTGCTTTGAGGGGTAAGCCATTCATTCCTAAAATAATAAAAGTGTCTATCTTTACCTGATGGGCCAGAGCATATGCCATGGCTCTCTCACGTTTAGCTGCAGCCTCCTGCCTCTTTAGTAACTTGGATTGAATTTCTTCAACAGATCCTACACTATGACACCACCCTTCCTGCATTTAATCAGAAGTCATATGAAGCATTCATCAAACGACAAACATCTATGCCTCAGATATATGAAAAGGATCAATAATATCATTCTAAAGTCTCAACTAGGTATGAAATAACATTGAAAAATTATCTCTTGTGCCAATTTACAAGCTGCAAATTGTTGTCTGTAGTCCAGTTGCATTCTAAAGGAGATTTGACTCACAAAAATGATGTAATTCATCAACTTGACACAACAGAAGACTATGATGCTACATCGAGATCCTAAAATTTAATTCTTGAGAAAATGAATGAATACAGACACATGTACACAAACACAGAACAAGCAAGCCAGCATGCATTAATTCAACTCTATTTCATGCGTGCCTGTAAATAAATAGTTTTGATGTTTTAGATGAATAAATGAACTAACATTTAATGTTCCTCACCTCTACTTCTTTAACACGAGCCTCATTTGCAAGTTGTTGCTGGAGTTTCTGTTGGGCAGTTTCACTTTCCAATGCCAGTCGAACAATCCTTGCTCTTACACGAGCCTGAACTCTGACCAAAGCTTGCATGCAGCGAAGAGTCATTGCAGCTTGTTTTCTTACAGCATGACCCCTAACAAGGGCCTGCAGCCTTACTAATCCTTTTAAGGCTCGCAAAGCTCTTCTAGCCTGACATTCAAGTAGAATAAATTTCCATTTTATCAGTCGAAGAATTCTGAAGTTAAATTACTTATTTAATTACAGTTCAGGTGAAAGATATATCATAACAAGCTTGGTTTTTCTTGTTAAGACTAAACTCTTATTCTACACAGTTAGGAATAACTGCAGTATATTTTATTAAAAAAAATAGCCTTCAAACTGTATAAGAATTTATGATTTGATTGAAATGAAGAAATACGACACGAACAAAGTTAGACCATGCATCAGTGATTAGAATACATGTGTAAAAATGAGTGCTTGCTCACTCACTATTGATCCAGGAAAAAGCAACACCATCAAACTAATTCTTTTAGTCTCTAATTTCATTTTTGAAAGTCCCAATTTATCCATAGCCCAAAATAAAAGATATTTTCAACATTTTAAGTACATCCATTTAACATATAACCCAGAAATGGCACTGCCATTTTAAAATAAAGGTTCAATAAAATTACAACTATTGTCTTAAACTTTATGAAAGACAAATCCATCCCAAACAACTTTGGACATAAAGAGTATTTTAAATTCTCATTTGACATGGCTAAGAGATGAAAAAGTGGAATCAATACCAGAAACCCACGAAAGGCTGTTTGTATCCTTGTGGCAGCCCATTCTTCCCTAGTAAGTTCATTAACAGCTGCATCACACACTTGAAGAGAACCAGAGGGAGTGCCAGCAGCCTCCGCATTTGCATGAGTATTAACATCTCTGACTATTGGCGCAGCATTTTGATCCAACTCTGCTTGAAGTTTATCTGTGTCAACCTCGACAGAATGCTTTCTTCGGTGATGGAATTTCCTAGTAGCTGCCCTCTGTAGCAACAAAAGACCAAAAATATTAGCTAAAATCATGCTTAAAATGGTGTTATACTTCAGATCAGTCTCATTTAAGTGCTAACTTATTTATATGCTAAAATAATATTTATGTATATGTACACACAAACACACAAAAGGCATAAAGAATATTATAAAACGCACAAATTTGATTTCACCACCACCAAAGACAAATCAGAATTGCTACTTCCATGAGACCAAAATAACAAATAGCAACGTTTATTATGCAATAGCTCGGGTAACTTTTCCTCAATTGTTGCTAAACATTGAGAATGGATCTTCGATATTGAAATTATACAATCAAAGAGGAAGAGCCTGCACTTCTGCCCCTATCAATGAAACTATGAAGCTTTACAGTAAGGTTTTAAGGAAGAAATCCTGCTATAAGTCGGGTATCAAATCAAATCATGTTATAATGTTTGCTTTCTACAAGCCGCAATAAGACCAGATAAATGGAAATAAGAATAATTAAGTGTGCAATCATTCTGATAATGACATAGCATCATACACAAGGATGGATAGCTAACGAGGATAACTGTTGCATGTAAGTTACCACAAAACACCCTTTCTCCTTTATACCAGATTAATCAACAGTGCTCAGGTCCAGGAAAAAGGAATTAATCCACAGAATGAACTCTTACTTAATGTGCACAGGATATGTAGATATTTGGTAAATATATCATTGCTTTATCATTTTGAAGAGGTGCACATGAGATTACACATGAACATACCCAAATCTAAATTTCCTAAATATAAAATCTTTAAAAAGAAAAAAGAACATTCATTCTAACATTTTCTCCCTTCTCTGAAGATTGCGACTTTTCTGTTTTTTTCAAGCCAACCAATGCTTTGATCCATTTTCCTGAGACACCCATTGTATCAACTATGACAAATCAACTAGATAAGGCAGACCTGCAAGAAAAAAATGCTTGAAAAATAAATCATATAGTTGCAATCAATGAAAAGATACTTCACAAACTCTAGAGGAAAATAAACCATAAAGAATGCTATGGAATATGAAAAACAATTCTCCTGATAGTAATTCTTATCTATCTGATTCATTTTGTAAGCATCTACTGATATGATACATATCCAAGAATCAATGTAACAAGTGTTGAGATATTAAAGAAAAGAATACCATTTCACAATATGATCAATATGATCTATAAGAGACAGACTGGTCAAAATTGGTATTACTTTCAAGGAAACGCCCTTAATACCACAAAAGAAAGGATATCACTGAACAAAATTAGACCATAACCAGAAGTAGAAGAAAGGGGCAGTCCTTTCATGAGCTATTAAAAGTGAAATTTCTACCACATTGAAAGGATAAGACTGTCAATAAACAACAAATTATGGAATAAAAAATCACCAAAGCATAAAAGACAACATGGCTAACCCAGTGTTCTTAGGGCGCTAGGTACAATTGAATTTTCAATTTGACTTATGAGATGACTAAAACTCCAAAATGGATTTGGCCGATTTTTGTGCTGCCCGTACACAAGACAAGCCTAATTCACTGATAACAGTCGACTTCAACCCCAAGTTCGATAACCCTACAATTAGAAGCATCAAACAAGTAGAATATAGTTAAAATTGGTCACAGAGGAGTAATTATAAAATGAAGAACTGAAATAAAAAAAAAGGAGATACTGCCATTTTTCATTTTACAAAAAAAAATATCCAAAGACATTGTCGACCAACCTTTGAAGTTTCAATATTGGGTTCAAAATTAGAAAGACTGTGTCACTTTGTTGATGCCAAGCGAAGCAACCACATATTCTCCATCAACCTTATCACTTCTCACACTCCCTTGAAAATAATCATCTAGTCATCAATAAGATAGCAATAAAAAAAACACAGAATTCATACTTTCCATGTAAAAATTAAATAAAAACGGGAAAACCCAGAATTTATTTCCATTGTTGTTCATTTATGGATAACCTTTTCAAGTCCTTCCATTATTAAACTGCTCCGGATTAAAGTCTAATTATTGTAAATTACAATAATTACTACCCAATTAAGTAACAGATCTCACAAATATTCACCGTCGAGCTAGAAAAGCGAAAGCTAGTAAACTTTTTCAGCATTATTCCACACAAAATAAAAAAGTTGAAAAGAAAGGAACAGTACCCTTTTAGGCGTTGGATTGATGATGATCTACCACTCAATCAATCAATAATTAATCAGTCAGTCAACGTAGTCAAACTCCCTATTTTCTCCTTTTCTCTACCAAAAAAGAAATTCAATTTCAACTAAGGGATCAACACATCGAAGAAATGGGATTTCTCAGATTCTTTCTGTTTTTCTCGATTGAATTTGTGAGGACTATAATCGGCTAAAACACGCCAAGGAGTTGGTGAGGAAGTGTGTTTGGGGTAAAACGTAAATGCGGTTAACTCTTATAGGAACGGCGTCGTTTTCGATTTTTTCTTTTCGGTATAGTCGTTGTCAAGCGTGGCAACGAGGAGAGGTAATCACGGGACGTGTGTCCCCTCAGTCACCCTATAAATTCTAAAATTTATAACGGTTGTACTACCAAACAATCATTTCACTCAATATTCTTTAAATATAATAATAATTCTCTTATAAAAATTTGTCTTTTTCTTTTTTTAACTACCTATTTTTAATTTATTTATTAATTAATCTATATTAAGTATTGTAAAGATAAGATCAATTTTCTCAAATCAATTTACTTCATTCGTAATGGTAAAGATTTGAACTCCTAATTTTACTTAAGCGATCGAATTTTCACTAAACCAACTGATTATTTGTTAAATTTATCTCTTTTATATTTTAAAATTATCATATTTATATTATCACTTCGAAAAAAATCAACTTTTACTAAGCATATTTTCTTTTCTACATTTTCTTTAGTATCCTAACAAAATAAAATTTAAATTTTTTAGGACAAAATTATCATTTTAATTCTTCTACAACATATCTTTTACAAAAACTTTTTCTTCTTAAAAATACATGAAATACCAAACGATGGAGAATATAAATAAGATAGAGAGAATAATATTTTTTGATTTTATTATCTAAATATCACCTTTAAAAAAATTAATATTGTTTTGACCCTCTTCTTTTTTGGTTGTCCTCCCGGTTTCAAGGCTTTGCTTTGACTAATCTAGATTGACCTACGTTGTACACCTGATTTTGGTGGGTGAGTCTCCCGACAAGGATTTTCTACATACACAAGGACTCGAACCTAAGATCTTACTTAAGTGGAATCAAGTTGTTTACCACTTGAGTCAACCCTGTAGGTTTTGACATTCTTTTTAGATTAATTATATGAATTAATAGTTTAAGATAAAATGAAATATGAGGGAGAAAAGGTAAAGAAAATATAAGAAAAAATATATAAATTTTGTTGAGAAAATAAATAACGCGTGGTGTTGCGTATGTGTACGAGCATCGTCCAGACAATGATAATGATGTGTGTGTATTAATTGTATTTTTTTATTACCTTCTAGCTCCAAGGCTTTGCCTTAACTAATTCTGGGCCGACTCGGGTCACACATCTGCTTTGGTGGGTGAATCTCCTAGCGTAGATTTTCTGCATACACAAGGACCCGAACCTAAAACCTTACTTAAGCGGTATCAAGCTACTTACCACTTGAACCAACCCCCGTTGGTTGTGTTAATTGTATTTTTAATCACTCATTGGATGTATGTTTAAAAGATCATATTTAAATATTTAGGAAAAAATTTATCTAAATAATGTGGAATTTGAGGAACTCATGTTTAAAATTTTGATTTTGGCACAAACTAAGTTACCTTGTCAAAAAGAATTAATGAGTGTTTTTTAGAGGTACCAGGTTCGAGTACGAGAGAATACAAGTATTCGAGTGTTCATTGTCAAATAGTTGAGAGTCTTTAGAATAGATATCATCACTTCTAAGCACCCTAGATTAATAAAACAATATATTGATAAATCCAGACAAAGATATATTGTTTATTGCATTAAAAAAGACCTATCCACATTTGAAATATTTGAATATAGACTCTAATAATTAGAGATACACCAAAATTAAAGTTGAAAAAAAAAGATTTGTGATAACTTCATAACATCTAACAGCCGCTACAACAAAATAGGTTTATAACTGTGTTTTTTTGTTCTATAAAACGCCGCCAAAAATACTCAAGGCGCAAAAAAAACCCGCCAAATTAGCGCCACAACATTAGCGGCGTTTTACTTCCACAAATGCTGCAACATATCAGGTTCTATATCGACTTTTTTTTTACAAACACCGCAACAGGTCAGGTTCTATAGTGGATTTTTTTATACAAACGCCACAACATGTCAGGTTCTATAACGACTTTTTATATAAACGCAGCAACAAGTCAGGTTATATAACGGCGATTTTTACACAGACGCTGCAAAAAGTCTTGTTCTTTAGTTGCGTTTGTGATACAAATGCCGCAATAATATTGTTCTGAAGTGGTTTTTTTGTACAAATGTCGCTAATTTTTACTCCGTTATTGGTGTTTTTCATTCTAAATCGCCGCTAATCACAACTGATTTTCTATGGGGTTTTTCCTGCTTTTTGTTACCCAAATTTAACCTATAACAATATCCAATGACAACCTTGAAAGGTAATTATGATTCCACTTAAGTAAAAATACATAAAAATATATAAATGAAAGTTTACAAACATCCAGCTGAAATATAACATAGTTCATCATTGTTCACTACAATAAACAAAGCATTAACCTAGGAAATCACCTAGGTTGATCTATATTAGATTAGGTTATGTTTGAACAGTAGCTTCAGTTTTTTGTCCTTCTTTGTTTGGATTTGGTTCCTGGAATATTAGAGTACAATGTTTCTCTGGTTAGTGGTGAATGCTGAGTTTCTGTTATTGCTGGCAGCCTACGACCTTACGCCTAGCAATTTTTGAATTAGGCACTCGATTATTGTTGGTCATTTGTAAGGTTTCTAATTAATTGTTTTATTTTATGATGATCTTGTTGAGAATTTATCTTAGAGAAGAGGATTCATGATCTGGTGGTGTTTGGTGAAAGGTTGCATTCAAATGGTTGAATTTTTGTCGTGATAAAGATTTACTAATTGATATTTGTGGGCTAGTTATTGAGATGCTTGATTCTTGGTGAGTATGATTACTATTTTCGGTTAGTATGGGAAGATTTTGATGTTGATTTTGAGCTTTAATCTTCCATTGGGGCATTTTGAAAGTCTTGAGTTACTGATCCAAGTTCTTTCACACTGGTCACTATTGAATCATTGGTTTCAGTGATTGTTGTTGGTTGTTGATTTAGGTTTTTCATTTCTTATTTTGCATTACTGGTTTGTTTGCTCAAGTACTCTTTGTTCTAGTTTCTTCATAGTCTGATACTTCTATCATAAGGTAACATGAGACTTGAAAGCTTCACAGCCAAATGTTCATGACAGAAAATCTCTAGGGAGGGTTAAGAGTTTAACAACCTTGTCTTCATTAACCAGACAAAATACGATGTTTTCTTGCCCAAGAGAGGCTTCAGATTGTACCCCGAGAGTTTGTAGCTTAACCACCTTCCTTCCACCAAAAAGAAAATCCGAATAAGTAAGAAGAAGAATAGTTTTTATTCATGAAGAAATTTCAAATGAAAGAATGATAAAGAAAAGAAAGGTGAATAAAGTAGAACGAAATGAGGGATCACACTTCAATTCTCGATTACAAAATGATGAATGAAGAGAAAGTATATTACTTTGTCAAGAACTAACTCAAGTGTTCATTTTTTCATCAAGAAAGTTGAAGAAGTCGTGTGAATGTTAGAATATTAAAATGTTAATACAATTAGTTAGTATTTGTTATTTTGTTAGGATTTTAGTTAGTTGGTTAGCATATTATTAGTGGGCTATATAAGCCTAGCAATGTAGTGGATTAAATCAAGTATTTTTGTAATTCATTTTCACATTTAGTAAAACAAAGCCGCCTCTTTCATAGCTTTCCATCTTCAGTGCTACCGTTTACATTCATCACCATCGGTAATCTCCGGCCACCATGGCACCTTTTCTCACAACCACTATTCCTTAATAGATAAGTTTAGGATTATAACTTCATAGTGATCTATGGGATCAAAGGCCATCAAGAAGCGTGTTTTCTTATGGTAAGATGATGCTTAAGGAATTCTGAAAATTAAAGAAATACAAACCAGTAGAAATCTATAATTCTGAAAATACTAACAAAAGTGATGTAGAAAACAACAAACAACAAATGAGGAATAAAAGAGTTCTTGAATTTGAGCCTTAAGGAGTGATGGAGGTGCGATAGTGGTGGATAAAGGCGCGACAATGGTTACTGGTGGTGCGACGGTGGCGACTGATGCCCTGATTTGATGGAGATGCAAAGCTAAGGATAGAGGAAGAACATAGGCTAAAGAATATGATAAACAAAATTAGAGATCAGGCATGAGAACAATTGGGGATATATACATCCTATGGTGGTATTTGTAAGAAAAACACCACTAATATACTAGCCTATTGCAGTGTTTGTAAGAAAAATGGGCCACTAATATACCAATCTATTGGGTATTTTTAAGTAAAGCGCCACTAATGACTAGTACATTGATGTTTTTTTAAAACGCCACTAATGTACTATTCTATTACGGGTTTTCTTTTAAAATGCCACCGTTTATCATTATATAGCGACATTTCTACAGAAAACGCCAGTAAAAATAAATGCTTTTGCGACGCTTTCTGACAAACACCACTAATTTTGATATTCAGTGATGTTTCTTATATAAAGGTTGCGAAATGTAAAATGTTAACGTAAAAACTGCTAAAAACGTCGCTATAGACCCATTCTGTTGTAGTGTGTGGGGATAGCTTTTAGGACTTGAGTTGAGTTTGATGCTCAATTAAAGAAGAACAAAGCTTGATAAGAGTTGTTTTGTTTGATGAAGACAAGGGTGACTAAGTTTGGATATAAGAAAGGGTAGAAGTAGTTTAAAGGTGGTGAATTGAAGTTTTAGGATTTAGAGTTTCGAAGGGAGAGGTTATGAAATTTATAATGAAGGTGAGGTCCAAACTTTTACCATTTAGAGGTAATAAATTGAGTTGATTGCCATTAGTGATAATCAGAGGTAATAAACTGAGTTGATTGTCATTAGTGATACTGAACTAAGTTAATGATAGTGTCATTAGAGGTGATGAACTGAATTAGGGTGCTTATCGGCCGAGTTGATCGCGAGTTAGGCAGTGCTCGACTCGTGCTCGTTAAAAAATTTTGTTGCTCAACTTGACTTTTTGCTCGTTAAAATTTTGCTCGACTAGTGCTCGTTAAAAAAAACTTATTGCTCGATCCGTGCTCGTTAAGCTCATTGCTCGTTACTCGCCTTGTTGCTTGTCTCGTTGCTCGTTAAGCTCACCAAAATTTTTATCTTATTTTTTAACTTTAAGTAAAATCTACTAATACTATATAAAACTTAATATAAGCATAAATTGATATATTTAACCAAAAAAATTAACTATACAAAGCTTATTATAAATGTAAATGGATAATTTTAACCAAAAAATTATCAAAAGGGTGTATGAAAAAAATTCAAAGTCTAAACTCCAAAATAAAAATCCACAAATACATTAAAATAATAATTAGGGTTTATTTTTTTAGTGTAGTAACATAATAATTACTAATTAATAATTTAGTTTTTTATTAAAAATTAATATATTAGTCATTAATCATCTATTAGTAAATTAATAAAATTTGCAATGAAATAGTTTTTTTAAGTTAAATAGTAAAAAATTATAAAAAAAACTAACGAGCTGCTCGCAAACTTATCGAGTCGAGTTGGACTTTGCTTGACTCTGCTCATTAAGATCTAAGTCGAGCTCGAGTTTGAATCGAATCAACCCGAGTTGAGCTTTTATCGAATTTTGATTGAGTTGAATTCGGGTTGCTCACGAGCTGTTGAACTCATTAAGCACCCCTAAAATGAATTATTAATGACCTTGGTTAATGGTAGTGTCATTAGAGAAGAAATGATCTTCGTAGAAGAAACGTAATGGTTCAAGCAAGATTAAAGGTTTTCTATTAACAATGGTCGATGGATAGTTCATTCAATGAAAAAAAACATAAAAGATAAATACTAAAAAAATTACTTATATGGTAGTTCAAAAATTAATAGTAGAGAATATAATATCATATCAGTATGGAGTTAAGAGAGTTTTCAAAATTTAATGAACAAAACAACAGGAGTTTTCAAAAGTTGAGTAGTGAAACTTGTAGTTTAACCTTAAAATGTTCGATAGTGACACACGAGCTTCACTCCAATGTAGCAGGTAAAGCCACTTGTCGTACAAAACCTTCTCATAGAAGGTTACAGAAACAAAACGCCATTGGCCAAAAGCCAGCTCTTACCAGAAAGTAGCAGGCCAGGCCTCCATTTAACTTTCTCTCTGTCTCCACTCTCTCCTCATTCATTCATCTCACTCTTCTTCTTAACCTCTCAAAATCCCAGCCGAAAGAGTAAAGACATCTAAACATGGCTGGCACTGCTTCCACAACTAATAACCCTCCCTATGAAGTCGATGAATGCCTAGGAGTCCTTCGCGTTTACAGCGACGGCTCCATTTGGCGTTCTTCTAAGCCAAGCTTCAACGTCCCAGTCGACGATGATGGCAACGTCGTGTGGAAAGATGTCGTATTTGATCCTCACCACGACCTTCAGCTCAGGCTCTTTAAACCAGCCTCACCTTCATCCGCCAAGCTCCCGATCTTTTATTACATCCATCCATGGCGGTGGTTTTTGCATTGGGTCACGTGCCTGTCCTAACTGTCGAAACTACTGCTTCCGGCTTGCTTTGGAGCTTCAAGCTGTTGTGATTTAGCCGGATTATCGCTTGGCACCGGAGAAAAGGCTACCGGCGGCAATTGAGGATGGTTTCAAAGCCGTGAAATGGGTCCAAGCTCAAGCTCTGGCTGAGAATCCTGATCCGTGGTTAACTGATGTAGCGGATTTTAGCAAGGTGTTCATGGCCGGTAACTCAGCTGGTGGTAATATCGCTCACAATTTAGCAGTCCAGCTAGGGGCTGGTTCGCCTGATTTGGCCCCGGTTGTGGTCCGAGGTTACGTGCTTTTAGCACCTTTCTTTGGCGGGACAGTGCTTTTAACCCATTCCCCAAATTCTTTTTCGATCATCCAATTATTTTTTTTAAAATCATATTTAACGTTACGTTTTGATCATGTTTTTAAAAAATTAACAGTGATATTAATGTGTCATCATTGAATTTTTTTGTAAAAAAAATATCACGTCAACAATTATATTTATCTTTTAATGACGAGTTATCAAACCATAATCAAAATATAACGATTTTTTTTATTAATATGTGGTAAGTACATATATATCTTAACATGTACATGTTTTGGAGGTTATTTGTTCTGGTAGGAGAAACAACCGATCACCCGTTGATAAACCCTTTCGGGCCGGTCAGTCGCAATCACAAACACTTGGCTCTAGACCCGATTCTTGTGGTGGTTGATGGAAGTGATTTGATGAAAGATCTGGAAAGGATTATGCCGAGAGATTGAAGAAGATGGGGAAGAAGACAGAGTATGCTGAATTTGAAGGACAACAACACGGCTTCTTTACTATTAATCCAAAGTCTGAACCCTCCAAAGCTTTGATGGAAGTTATCAAACGATTCATTGCTGGAAATTCTAGCTGAAAAGGGGACGTTTGTGAGACGAAATGATGGAACTTTGAATAATTATGCTATTTAGTCATACAAATTATAATTATATGTATGTTTAAATTTTAAATTACATCAATTATTATAAAAGACAATGAATATTAAACTTTAAAATGGGAAGGGCGATGGATTTTGCTTAATTTTCTGAATTTCTGTTTCTTTAATTGTATACAAACTTCTATAAAATAATTATCAAATTTATAGTTGATATGCAGTTAACTTATTCTTATGATAAGGTGAGATTTACAGAAATGGTAAATATTAATTATTTCACCATATAAATCACTATTTATTTAGAAATTTTATTAGGAATGATTGGAAAAAAAGATATTCCTTTTCCAAATGCTAACAACAAAATATTTGAAAACATAAATTTAGATTTGTGTTTCTAATGTAATTTTTTATTAGAGAGAGAAGAGGTTGTCAAACCCACAATCTAATGTAAGTTAGCATTAAAATAAATAATTTGCTATCGCACTATAAGTTTGGTTTATTTAACATCTTTTATTGTATTTTTTTACTAATTTAAAATAACATAATATTTAGTTAAAAAAATTAAATTATTTAATAATGAACTTTCAAACATTCTAATGAACCTTATAATAATAGAACACGAAACTTTTAAAAAAAATAATAATCTTTTTAACCATTAAAAAATTTAATACATAAACTTAAATTTCCATTAACAATCAAGTGTTATCATAAATTTACATGACGTACATGATTAGAATTACACCAAAAGCAACCAATTAAAAATATAAGAAAACTATTTTAAAAAAGATGTCAATAACTTTATAAAAAAGATGTCAGATCGAATTTTCTTTAAAAAATTATTTTTAAAATGTTAATATAAAAATAATTAACACAAAAAATAATTCTAATGATATAAGAAAATACTGGCAATGATTCCAATCCGAATAACATTAATAAAATATATATTTATACAAATTAAAAAAAATATTATCATACAATAAAAAATTTAGAAAATAAATTCTATAAATACTAAAAAAAGTGTTAGTTACCAAGTCACCAACGTCTTCCATTTTCATAGCTGAAATCAAAATAGTTTCCTTTTTTTTAGTGAAGGTGGTATGATGGTATTAAAAATGATCATAGACGGGAGAGGTTAATAATGTTTCATTAAAAACCCCCTAAACCTAATCGAAGGAAAAGAATACAACAGGTAACACCAAAGAACAAAGCAAACAAAAGCCATAGGGCAACCAAAAAAAATAAAATGAACAAAAGACAGATCTAGCTAGGAGGCGCCATATCCTTATGGAGAAGAGCTTGAACATCGACAGAAGGCATGCTTAAGTACCGAAGGGTGAGATCCGTATCAAAAGCCAATTTAGCGAGCCTGTCAGCTACACAATTACCATTTGTCACGGTTGGAAGAGATGAGCGTGGGAACGAAGAGAAAAATGGTGAATTAGGGATTGAGATGCGAAGGAGAATTGTAAAAGGGGAATTAGGGATTGAGGTGCGAGAGGGAAATGAAAATGGGAAATTAGGGATTCTGGGAATTGAAGGGCGAATGATATTACCTGATGAAGTGGAGCAGCACGTGATCGGTTCAGGAGATGGTGAAGCAGAACGAGATATTATCCAAGAGGAAGTAACAGCCCAATCAGTCCAAAAGGAGAAAGAATACCCCACGTGTTCAGTCCAATACCCTGCAAGAAGAGAATCTATAGTTGTTATAATCTGTTAAAAGTATTGCCAGCTGGCATCCTTGCAAATGATTGTTTTAGCCCTGTAACTAAATAATATAGGTTGTAATAGGAATTGGATTCCTTATGAATGAATGAAGAAATTTCCTTTCTGTAATCTCTCGTTTCTTACTTCTTAAATCCTTTCTTCTTCTTCGATTTCCTTCTCTAATATCTCCAGTCTATCACAAATTGGTATCGAGAGCTTCGGTTATGGCAAGTAAATCACAAGCATGATAAAGAAAAATCAGAGTATGGAGGCAGATTTAGCTGGGTTACAGAAACATATGGAAGATTTGACAACATTGGTGAAAAAGGGTAACGATGATTCTGATCCACCTAAATGGTGGGAGGCCCAAGAGAACATAATTACTGCAATGGAGACTAGAATGGCTACCAACCAAGGATATGTGGAAAAACTCTTGAAGATCTTAACTGGCAGAGATGGAGAACAAGAGCAGTCTGAAGGTGATCAGGTAAACACTCCTGATAACTAGGGATGAGCAACGAAACCGAGAAAACCGAAAAACCGACACGAATCGAGTAAAACGGTTCGGTTCGGTTCAGTTTGGCTTTAAACGGTTCGGTTTTCGGTTCAGTTTAAAGGCTTCATTTTTTTGATTCGGTTCGGTTCGGGTTTTCCATATGGAACCCATTTGTTCCATATTGAACCGAATAGGCAATTTTTGTAAAAAAAAATTATAGTTTCAAGTGATTTTTTCATTGAAAAAACCAAAAAACCGAACCGAACCGAAAAACCCGAACCGTTAAAAAAACCGAACCGAACCGATAAAACCGGTTTCGGTTTTTTAACATTCGGTTTCGGTTTAAATATTGAAAAACCATTTATTTCGGTTCGATTCAATTTTTGGTAAAAAACTGAACCGAACCGAACCGAATACACCCCTACTGATAACTCTAAAAATGGGTAGAAAAATACTGTTTTGGTGACTGTAGTAAAGGATAAATCAAGATTCACTTATAAAACTGATGAACCGGGAATATTGAAAGACAAGCCTGATGCTTGTTTAGCCCTTAAGAACAGTTCTAGGCCTGAGAATCAAGTGGGTGAAAACAGTAACAATAGACTTATTATGGGATTGGAAGCTGAAAACAGGGGATTAATCTTAGGGGGTGGCTTCAAAAATGTTTGAAATATTTTTCCATTTGTGGTGTTCCTGTTGAGCAAAGAGTAGAGGTAGTCACTATGTACTTGACAGGAAAAGCAGAGATTTGGTTTGATGGATATATTATGCAGAAACACCATGTAACATGGCATGAATTTGAAGCATATCTTTGTCATAGATTTAGTGACAAGTCTTTTTCTGATATAGTAGAAGAATTTACTAAGTTGACTCAGAAAGGGACTGTTGAGGCTTATCAGGAAAAATTTGAAGAGCTACAACCTTATATGTTATTACAAAATCATACATTAAATGAGGATTTCTTTGTGTCACTTTTTATCAGTGGACTAAGGGAGGATATTAAACATAGGGTGAAGGCTCTAGATCCTAAAAATTTGCCTGAAGCATACAAACAAGCAAAACTCTATGAATTATCTGTTGATTATGAAAACAGAAGATGGAGGCCCTCTTTTAAAAACCCATCCTACCCAAACCCCATTATTACTTCTAAATCAGCTTCATTGCCAGCAATTACCAAGAACACATTAGTTTCTAATCCTAAACAGAATCTTATGGATTATAGAAGGCAATACAATCTTTGTTTCAAGTGTGGGGAGAAATTTCTTCCAGGGCATCAATATAAGTCAAGGAATTTGAATCTGATGATTGAGGAAGAGGTTGATGTTCCTACAGATAATGTTACTAGGGAATCAGATCAACAATTGATACAGGAAGAGGAGGCTCTAGAAATCTCTATGAATGCTATTACGGGCTGCATTAGCCATAATACATTAAGGATTCAGGGAGCCATTAAGGGCAGACCACTTAGTATTTTGATTGACAGTGGAAGTACTCATAGTTTTTTGACTCCACAGTTGGCTGATGCTGGTATACATGTACTTACACCATATCCTTTGGCAATCACAGTAGCCAATGGACAACAACTTTATAGTTCAGCAAGGTGTAATCAGGTGGAATGGCAGATGCAAGGACACTCTTTTGTTCATGATTTCAGACTCCTACAGTTAGGTGGCAGTGATATGGTGTTGGGGTGGATTAGATGAAATTATTTAGTCCTATTTTGATGGATTTTAATCGAATGACACTGAGTTTTCAATGTCAAGAGGATAATATTATTATACAAGGACAGCAACCATCTAATTTTTTGCCGCAAATTTCTGGAGCTACATTATTGAAGATGACAACATCAGATTCTCCTATTTTGGGACATGTGATTTTCTTGACTATGTCTGAAGATTCAAAACATGTCCCAGCAACTCTTCAACCTCTTTTACAGAGATATCAATCTATTTTTGACGAGCCTACTGGTTTACCACCTACAAGGTCTCATGACCATGCTATTCCTTTAAAGCCTGACTCTACTCCTATCAATTTGAGACATTATAGATTTCCACACAATCAGAAAGAGGAAGTGCAAAGACAGATTTCTAGTATTCTTTCAGCCTCTATTATTCAGCCTAGTAGGAGTCCATTTGCTTCTCCATGCCTTCTTATAAAAAAATGGTACTTGGAGATTTTGTGTGGATTATAGGAAATTAAATAGCATGACTGTGAAGGATAAGTTTCCTATACCTGTGGTTGAAGATCTATTAGATGAATTACATTGAGCAGTTTATTTTTCCAAAATTGATCTCAGATCTGGATATTGGCAAATAAGGATTAAATCTGAGGACATATACAAGACAACATTAAGAACTCATCAGGGTCATTATGAATTTAAGGTGATGCCTTTTGGGCTTACTAATGCCCCTGCTTGTAACATCCCAAAATACGGGTTAGTGACCAAAATTGTAAAATTTCAGAATATGGTGATTAAAGTATAATAGTTTAATAGTTTAATGATTTGTTCGGAAATATTTCCTAAAAGTTTATAGTAATTATCCAAAGAATTAAAGGGCAAAATAGTCATTAGACTTGAAAATTTTAATTAAATGATATATATATATGGATAAGGATGGGAGATTTTCCAGAAATATTTTCTCTCTTTTCTTCTTCATTTCCTCTTCTCCACGTGTGAAGCCAAGCAAAGGTGAGTTTTCTCTTGAGCTGTTTATGTGCTGAAATTTAAGTTTAGTTTTGATTATTAGATGCTAAGTAAGATTAAGGAATGATTAATTTGCTTTAAAACAACAAAATGAAGAGTTTATGAGGATTTAAAGATTTGGAGTTTTTGAATGAAATATCGAAATAAAGTTTATATTGAGAATGGAAAGTTGAATTTGACTTGTCATCAAGTTAATTAAGGGATAGGAAGTGTTAGAATAGGAATTTGAACATGTTGCAAAACTAGTATAATTTTTGCAATTACATAGGAATGACTAGATTTGAAGTTAAAGAAGTGATTATGGAATAGAAATAAGTTTAAGTATGTGTATTAAAGTTAGGAGTATTAAAGGAAGTGAAATAGGAAGGTTTGAGTTGAAAATTGATGATTTTCGAGCTTAGAATACAATTTCTGGGTAGAGGGAACCGATACCCTATGAATGGGAATCGATTCCCCCTCTTGAACGAAAAATTCCAGTATGTTCAGGGGTATCGATTCCCCTGGGGGGTATCGATTCCCCCCTAAATGAAAATATAGAATTTGATTCATTAAACCGGTTTAAGTTATTAACATCAAGTTTAAAGTTTAGGCTTCTGATAGTTGTTTTGAAATGATATATTTATGTAGATATTGAACCTAAACAAGTTCCGAAATAATCAAAGGATTATAATCGAGTCAAAGCAAGGCTAAGGTGAGTGCAATTTAAATTGTACTTATGTGATTGATCAAACATTGGCTTGCGATGAGTCAATGATAGAGTTACTATGGTAAGAGGTAAATTATATAATGTTATGTGATTACTCTGTGTGCATTAGTACATAGAAATGGATGTATGTTTATATGTTACATGATTTACATGCTTACATGAAAATGCAACATATGATATTAGATATGTGCTTACACATATATTTGATATGTGATAGAAGAGAAGGAACATGTGATTATGATATCAAGGATTACACGTACATGTGATACGTGACTGAAAAGAAAAGATATGTGTTTATAAGAGAAAGAATATGAATAAGTAATGTGAACGGTCATAAATGATAATGCCCATGTTATGTGATATGAGAGCTAGGGGTATAGTTGGCATGCCAAGGGTCGAGGGTTATCTATGTTCTTCGGGACATATGGACTGTTTACCTATGTTCTTCGGGACATATGGACTGTTTACCTATGTTCTTCGGGACATATGGACTGTTTACCTATGTTCTTCGGGACATATGGACTGTTTACCTAGGTTCTTCGGAATCTATGGACTGGTCTTTTGGGACATTGATCGAGCTGTGGTGACAGCATATATGTGCACAACCTCAATGTACTCACATACCTTAAGTTCTCACTAGTGTACATGGGCTAATAAAGTGATTAAACAAGCATACTGAATGTGATATGTATACGATGGGTTTATAAGTGGTTTGAAATGTGTTACGTGAACCATATGATGTTATGTGTGTTTCTTAATGATAATGATGGTATATGTTTATGTATGATTTATGTTATATGAAATATTATATGTTTTATATGCCTCACTAAGGCATCGACTTAGCGTGTGATTGTTTCACACGTAGGTATGGAAAGCGAAAAGAGAAATAAAGAGGGAGCAAGACAGGTCAGTTCTTCTTACCAAATGTCAGATCAGAAAATATATGTATTGTATATAGAGTGTAGTTGGCATGTAGTCTAAAGATAAAAATTGTATGAACTCTGATATATTTTGTAAATGTTTTGAATAAGTTTAAATGTTATTAAAGTTTTTAAATTACTCACTATTTTATACGAATAAATGTTTGAAAAGTCAATGTGACACTTCGGACTCGTATCCGGGTCGGATATGGGTTGGGGGTGTTACAGCTACATTTCAAGCTTTAATGAATGAATTGTTTAGTTCATTCCTTAGAAAATTTGTCTTGGTATTTTTTGATGATATCTTAGTCTATAGTACTTCTATGAAAGATCATGTTATTCATTTACAACTAGTTTTAGAAGTACTGTATCAGAATCAGCTATTTTCCAAGTTGTCTAAATGCTTCTTTGGACAGACTCAAGTTGAATACTTGGGCCATATTATTTCAGCTAATGGAGTTTCTACTGATCCTAAGAAGGTGGAAGCTATGAAGAATTGGCCAGTGCCTAATTCATTAAAGTCTTTGCGTGGATTCTTGGGATTGACAGGTTATTACATAAGATTTATTAAAAATTATGGGTCAATTAGCAAACCTCTGACTCAGCTGCTTAAGAAAGACAGTTTTAAGTGGACTGATGCAGCCTTGATTGCCTTTGAAGAATTGAAGAAGGCTATGTGTGTTGCTCATGTTTTAGCCTTACCAGATTTTGGTAAGAGCTTTTATTTAGAAACAGATGCCAGTTCAGGTGGTATTGGTGCAGTTTTATCTCAAGAGGGCAGATCTATTGCATATTTAAGTAAGGCTCTAAGTCCTAGACATGCAGCACTCTCTATTTATGAAAGAGAGTATCTTACTATACTTCTAGCAGTTTCCAAATGGAGGAATTATTTAGAGAGTAAATCTTTTGTGATTAAAACAGATCATGAACCATTGAGATATTTATTAGAACAGAAATTGACTACTGCCATTCAAAAGAAAGGCTTAACCAAGTTATTGGGGCTGGATTACACTATTCAATACAGGAAAGGCAAATCAAATGTTGTTGTTGATGCCTTATCTAGACAGTGGGAAGATCATGTTGAATGTTTTACTATGAGCACTACCCTAATCATTCCTAGTTGGGTTCATGAAGTGGAGGGGAGTTATAAGGATGATTCTATAGCTATGCAATGGATTTCTGTATTATCTGTTAATCCTAATGTTGATCTTCAGTGGAAGTATTCAGGAGATATCCTTAGATTTAAGGATAGAGTGTATATTGGGGCTGCTGGATCTCTTAGACTACAAATACTTCAGACACTACATGATTCCCCTTATGGTGGCCATTCTGGCAGTCAGGCTACCTATCAAAGGATTAGGTCTTACTTCTATTGGCCTAAATTGAAAGCTATGGTAGCTAATTATGTAAGAGCATGTGAAGTTTGTCAACAGACTAAGGTGGTGCATGTGCCTAAACCAGGGTTGTTACAGCCTCTACCTATTCCTCATCAGGCTTGGGAAGTAATTACTATGGATTTTATTGAGGGTTTGCCTACATCTTTGAGAAAAAATTGTATTCTTGTGGTGGTTGACAAGTTTACTAAATATAGCCATTTTTTGGCATTAGCACACCCTTACACTGCTGCCTCATGCTGAATGGTGGTATAATACTACCTACCATACTGCTATTAAGTTAACACCTTTTGAAGCCCTATATGGCTACAAGCCTCCTACTATGGTATGGCATACAAAAAGTTCAGTGCAAAGCATATCAGAGTTAATGCAGAATAGGGAAGATGTCAGGCAATTAGTCAATTCTCAGTTAGAACAGACAAGTAATCGAATGAAGCAAAAAGCAGATAAACACAGATCAGAGAGAACTTTTTAGGTTGGTGATTTGGTTTACCTGAAATTGTAGCCTTATAGACAGACCTCTCTTGCCCTGCGAAAAAATTTAAAATTAGCAGCACGATTTTATGGATCTTATAAGATTATTGGTAGAATTGGAGAGGTTGCTTATAAGCTGGACTTACCGGAGACCTCACGTCTACATCCGGTTTTTCATGTTAGTTTATTGAAAAAACATATTGGTGCAGTCGTATCATCTTCAACAGATCATCCTGTAATGGACGAAGAAGGTCAGTTAAAGATTGAACCAAGTCAAATCCTGGGCAGACGAATAGTTAAATGAAAAAACAAACCGATAACTCAGTTATTGGTTCGTTGGACTAACCTGGATGCTACGAACGACACATGGGAGGATTATTCTGTGCTTCGAGGCCAATTTCCGAATTTTGATCCTTGGGGACAAGGATCTTCTCCAGCGACGGGTATTGTCACGGTTGGAAGAAATGAGCGTGGAAACGAAGAGAAAAATGGTGAATTAGGGATTGAGATGCGAAGGAGAATTGTAAAAGGGGAATTAGGGATTGAGGTGCGAGAGGGAAATAAAAATGGGAAATTAGGGATTCTGGGAATTGAAGGGCGAATGATATTACCTGATGAAGTGGAGCAACACGTGATCGGTTCAGGAGATGGTGAAGCAGAACGAGATATTATCCAAGAGGAAGTAGCAGCCCAATCAGTCCAAAATGAGAAGGAATAGCCCACGTGTTCAGTCCAATACCCTGCAAGAAGAGAATCTGTAGTTGTTATAATCTGTTAAAAGTACTGCTAGCTAGCATCCTTGCAAATGACTGTTTTAGCCCTGTAACTAAATAATATAGGTTGTAATAGGAATTGGATTCCTTATGAAATGAATGAAGAAATTTCCTTTCTGTAATCTCTCGTTTCTTACTTCTTAAATCCTTTCTTCTTCTTCGATTTCCGTCTCTAATATCTCCAGTCTATCACACATTTCGATGACCATGCTGGAAGTGAAGACTCTAGTTTCGATTGCGAACTCCAAGATATGTGCCACAAGAGAAATTTCCACATTATCGACACGGTCGCCATTAGTGATTTGTAATGCCTCCACACTATCCGTCTCAACAACGACCTGTTTATAAACTTCCAAGTATATATAAGGCCCTAGTAGAAACCCCACAACTCCGCTTCCAACACAGAACAAGCATCGATAAACTTGGAGAAACCAAATTGCCATACACCATTAAAGCACCGTAACACCCCACCACAAGCTGCATGGTTATCAGCAAGTCTACAAGTCCCGTCAGTATTGAGTTTAACCCATCCTTCTGCAGGGGGAGTCCAGTGGCACACCTCATGAACCCCTCTACCATGGGGAAAAGTTGCAACAATATGCCGAGTCAAAGCAACCCGAGACAAGGCGAGAAGACAATAACTTCGTACCAGCACCGAGTCATTATCATCAAGAGGAGAGTCGAAGACAATGACATTCCTATTAAGCCACAAGTTCCAGATTATAGCCCTAAACAGCAAATCCCAATCACTGCCATCAACTGCAAAACAGCTCGGGTACAACAAGTTGACTTTAATCCACGATTTAATGTTGATAGTGAAGAACTCATGGTGATTCAACTGCTTAATAAGACTTGACCAAGTAGCAATCGCCAACAGACACAGACGAAGCGCGTGATGGTTGTCCTCAATTGTTAAATTATAGATCGAACAGCTACTATCAACGATGAAATGGCGATGAGCACACTCCTCTTTAGTCATAATTTTCCCCCAAAAAAACTAACCACATGAAGATTTTTATGCGTTGGAGACCCTTAAACCGATGAATAACACTCCTAACTTACTCCTCCATTATCAAAATGTTTGCACGGATGGAGTAAGCGGATTGAATAGAAAATTGATGCGAAACAGTCACTACCTAACCAATGGAATCATGAAGATTAGAAGGATAAGGGCGCTTAATAGCCGTAAGATGTAATAAGATTTGAGTAGGTAATCTGCTTTGGGAAAGCTGCAAAGACTAATCCCCATTAGTTCTGACCATAACAACAATAATAATATGCCTAAGGGACCAACGAAGGTTGGTCGGGACAAGTAAATCAAAAATCCAATTATCAACCATTGAAGCTGAAGTTCTGGTTTGCGGTGGCGCTCCTAAAGGAGCTCACCTCCTATCTTTAAGGGGGTTTTCTTGAAAGCATTGGATACATGTGCACGGATCACCATAACCGACCCGAATCCACAATGGGTCATGGATAATTTTGTCCGGATTTATCAAAAAATTATATTTTATTATTATTATTATTAATATTAATATATATATATATATTTTGTTGGCCCACCATATCAACCCACTAAACCCACGTTCTGTAAGCTAAAACAAAAAAAACAAACAATTCACAGTTCATCAAGGGTAGCAAGTGGCTAGTTTGGAAATTTGAGGAAGATCGAACGCTTGCTGATTACCTGAAAGATCGCAGCTTCCCTTTATAGAGTCTGTCATGTTTGGACGTGTACTGCAAGGAGTGGAATCTGTTAAACGCCCCATGTTCAAACCCCACGTTCCAAACCGTGCTCCATTCGACATACTTGGCCAAGAACAACAAACGCCGAATAAAACGGAAGACACTTCCCAATTTTTTTCATTTAAAGAGCATTCCTCGAATGGAGTTCACCCGGGGCCGGGGGCCGGGGCATTAGTAGCGGCAGCACACCAACAATTACACTCTCCCCTTTTATCCTGTGAGCATCAAACTGTATGTAAAAATTCTACAGAAATGGAGAGAGGAAAAGAGCAAGGAATGGTGGTGATGCCACAACAAAACCCACTTGAACAGTTGCAAGCAAAGTTCAAGGAAGTGGATAACACTTTCAGGGGATGGCTAGCCAAGCAGTCCTTACCCGTCGAGGCTGCCGTGGTTACCACCACTAGCGCCGCTCAGGGCGCTGCCATCGGTGCTTTTATGGGTACCCTCACCAACGATGTCTCCTCCTCTCTTCCAACTCCTCAGGCTTCCCTCGACCTTTTATCTCCCAAACCTCATCGACCCCAAAGCGACCACTCCGTTCTCTTCTCCCGACGATGAGACCTCAAGAACCCTGGTAAGGTTTCGAAGAGACCCCATCGTGATGGCCAAAGGTTTCAGAGGATCCGAATTTACTACATGCGTGGAGATAAGGAACCACTGTTTCGAGGGGCTCGTACGCGGAGTGCTCGGGCGAACCGATCACCAACGTTGATGATGTGGATGGCTTGCTTGCCGGATCTGGGACCACCTGTTGTTCATGACTCGTGCAACTCAAACAAGCCGAAGAGAGGAGAGAAACAAAAGCCAGCAGAGGCAAAGAAGAAGAACCAATAAGAAGTGTTAGTGAAGCAAAGTTTAATTATCCAAAATGTTCGATGCTTTCCAACTTGCAAGTATGTTGTCTCATCAAGCAAGGACCCACTTTTAACCACTCAAATGCCAGCAGACAAGACTAAACAAAGATGCCAATTTCCATTTGTTTCAATTAGTTCAGCCTAACACACGGTGGGATCAATTGAACCAAATCAGAGGATAAAGGCTTAACTGCATATGCTGCGAATATTTTAAGGATTTTTTCTATTTGGTTTTAAGTCTACCAGTTCAAGGTAATTAAGCACTTTTCTCTGTACTGTTTGCTTATTAATCCTGTAAAGATTGATTGCTTTTTCATTTAGCCATTTTGGTTGTTATGGGTGAATCTTGATTTCTACGTGAAAGCTAGGTTGATGCAAGCCTTGGACTTGAAAGTATTCATTTTGTGTAGTATTCATTTTGTGTATTTAGAAATTTAACTAATAATTTTGTGTAGTATTCATTTTGGTCCCTTTTATTTTTTCAATATTTAAAATGGAGTAATTTGAATCATTTTTAAATTTTAATTTTTGCAATTAAATATAACCGATAAATTAATTGGTACCGAAAGGGCGGTTCAAGGGTGCTAATCCTTCCTTGACTATAACCACTCCCGAATCCAACAGGTAAGACGCAGATCAAGTAAGAAATAAGGTATCCGATCAACCCATTTGTTGTAAAATAAATTATCGGTGGCGACTCCAATTCGTTTAATCCAAGTCGAAACCCAATTTCGAGCCCCAACCGAAAGACGGTTGCGACAGGTGACATGTATTGCTTCCCGACGGCAATGTCCTGCTCATCAATGGAGCAGGGCCCGGGTCAGCCGGATGGGAACAGGGTCGAGACCCGGTTTTGAACCCCGTCTTGTACCGACCCGACAATGATATCAACTCACGATTCAAAGTACAAAACCCAACCACAGTTCCTCGGATGTACCATTCCACGGCGGCATTACTTCGTGACGGCAGAGTTTTAGTCGGCGGAAGCAATCCTCATGCATTTTACAACTTTACCGGCGACAGAACTAAGCTTGGAGGCATTCTCTTCGGCGTACTTGGATTCTAAATTCGACAACCTAAGACCGAAGATCATTGCTCCAAAATCTATGTCGGGAATCAGATACAGGAAGAGATATACGATCCAAATGTTAATTCCAGGTGGCACAGTGGATGAAAACTCGGTGTCGGTAACAATGTTTGCACCAGCTTTCAGCACATTCATTTTCATTGAATCAAAGGTTGCTTGTTCTTGGGAACGACAAGGTGACGGCTTTGGGGACCTCAGTGTACAACGTTGATGCCACGACGCCACGGTCGGGAAATCTAGCGCCGTCGGGGTTTTACCTTTTGTTTGTGATTCATCAAGGCATTCCTAGCAAGGCATTTGGATCAAGCTGTCGTAAACTGAAGACGAAAAAGAAGAAGAAACCTTCATTTAAACTTGTAAAATAATATTTGTGATTTGTGCTAAAGGGTTGTTTGTTAAATATTGGAATAAATATAATTGTAATTTGAAAATAAATCAATAAAATGAGAAGTTTATTGTTATATTTGAACATTAAACGTATTCAATTCTCTTATCTCATTCATAAGAATGTGTTTTCTATTACGTGGAATGAATGGGTTTAATGTTTATATAAAGGGTAAATAATTGTAGAAGTCACTTTTGTTTTGATTTTATTCATTTTTGAACATCAAAATTCTAAAAATATTTCCATCATTTACATTGTCAACTTGATATATTTTAGATATTGTATTTATAATTTTATTGACAATATATTTTCATCTACTAACATAAAATCCTATGTTGGTGCGTAAATTTTACTCTTCGATAACCACCATCATTCCACGAACCCCACCGCCTTCAGCTTCAATTAAATCAACAATAAATCAACCTCTATATATATACTCACATATTTAAAACATTAACCCATTCTCTTCAAGTAATTAAATTGAATCCATCAATCAAAGAAATCCAAACAAAAAGAAAGAGATTACTTTTTTTAACAATGATGAGTAACGGTTGATGGTAATTTTTTTGTTAGAATTTGGGGTTGAGTTTTGATTTTTTTTAACAACGTAAAAAAATAATGAAACAAAAGTTTAGAACATTCCAATAACATTTTTTAACGTACAATTTTATCAAACAACGTGAATTATCGGTTCAGTAATCAAGTTATAACAATTCGATAATATAAATGATTAGAGTACAAATTTTACATTTTTATAATGCTATGAATAATATTATAAAGTATAACTTTAAACATATTATTCACAAACAAATGAAAACATACATAGATTGAAAACAAAATATTTGACCATTATATATCAAATGATTGAGTATATTTTAATTTATAAGTTTCTAATTAGTTGGTTTATCACGTAAAATATTCTGTGATTTTTAATATTTGGGTGACAAACATGATTAGTAAATTATTATTGATCATAAATCATTAAATAAAACATTATAAATTCTGAAACCCAAGCTTATGTGAAACAACAAACGTGAGGGGACCTAATTAATAAACAGAATGTTTGCTGAAATTATAGTCAAAATCTTATCTCATTCAATGGATGGAATGTCACAAAAGTCTTGTTTTATATATATATATCTTTGATTAAATTAAAAAGATTACAAAGTAATATATCTATTTAATAATGAATACTAAATTATTTTATTATGGTCGTTGATACTCAAATATGTAATCTCAAAAAATAATGGCTATTTTTAAACTACTTAAATAAGTAGTTTCTTGCTAATAATTTTTACATTATTTGTTTGTGGAAACATCTTTAGAACAAATGTATGTGATTCGTACTGTTCTGCCACGAACAGTTTCTTTTTGTTTTGTATTATTAAATATTCCAAATTAAGAAAACTACAAGAGATCAAATACCGCCATTGAATTTTCTTTCGATTTTCTCGGAAAATCAATCGCTTAGCCAAAGAAAGTTTTATCTTTTCTTTTCCAATTTTGTCTTCCTCAGTTATCCCGATTTCCCTCCTCCCTCCTTCATTTAAAACAAAACTTGTTCAAAAAATGAATCAGGAATCCCATTTCCCCATGTTTTCTTCATCTCAGAACTACCGTCTTCCTTCTCTTTAGTTTCTTTCCTGGGACAAGGGGGGGGGGGCTTCAGAGAGAGATACAATCGCGTGATCGGTTAAAGATGAATCTTAAGAACTCGTCGCATTCACAGCCGACGACGGCGAGGAAAGGGAGGAATTACGGGGGAATGGTCGGTAGCTACGCGGCGGAGTGCACGGCGGTGGCTTGCTGCTTTCCGCTTGCAATGGTGGATATGCTTTTCCTGGGCCTTTACAGGGTTCCCGCCGGACTTTGCAAGAAGGCCATCGGAAAGAAGAAACGAAACCGTCAGAACCTAGGCCTGCATCCTACAACGCCGGTGGAGGATCTGGACCGGATGGTGAAAGGAAAGCTAAGTGGGGAAAACGAGGTTGACAGGTCCAAGGAAACCGTCGATCCGGAGGAGAAGTTAATGGAAGAGCTTCCAAGAACCGGGTTCTGGAGGGAACCTTCGGGAATAGAGACGTATGACGTACCCGCAGCAACGAGGCGATTTGACTAAACTGATCCGAATATTTATCTTTTTAGCGTTTGATATATATTTTCTGAAATAGTATCTTTTCGGTTGAGTTGGTGAAATGCGCATCCCCGTGGACGTGTTTTATCTGGATTTTCGCTGAGTTGGATGCCACGTGTGGAAGACGCATCCATGGGGACGCGCCTTCACGGGATTCTGATAACTCGGCTGCCACGCTGGTATTTTGTTTAATAATAAATATTTTATTTTTATTATTATTATGAATTAGTAATATATTATTTAAAGTGTTTCGATTATAATGTAAGAATTATCAAATGTATTTTGTTAATGTGTGTTAAATGTGGAGTGAATTATCTACATTAATATGATAGAACAATATATGAAAACCAGTTTTGATTTTATTATAGTTATAGGAAAAATGTATGAAATTATAATATTACACATATGATTATATTATTATTTTTGATTTTGATTATCGATCTATTAATTTTATTAGTTAATTATTTAAATGTTATCAATCTAGTCATCTCTTATCAATATTTAACGAAAATATTGTTGCATAAGTTAATAAATTAGTATAATTACACATTTAATCTTTAAGACTTACATATTTTATGAATTTAATCTTATTGAAAATTTATTTAATAAGTTTAATCCTCGAATCAGAACATGAAATGTGTCATCGTATACAAAAAAAATTTAATAACTTTTAATTTGTTTAATTTAATATTTTTCTCTACTTAGAAGGTGGAATTATTATTACATTTTAAAAAAAATTATAACTAATAATATTAATTATTATATTAAATAATATATTGAAAATATTTATGTATTTAAAAGTTAAAAAATTATTTAGATTACATACATTGACAAATTATATAAAATGCAATAACATTAAATTATTAGAAACAAAAACATTCATTTAAATACAATATTAATTACATAAGAGTTAACGGTTATATGATGATAACAGAGCTGGACATTTTTTTCTATTGTGTCTGATGTTTCTACAATGGCCACATCATTTTTGTTCTGTTGACTTCTCTCGAATATTCATATCACAATGTATTCTAGTAGATTTTGGACGACCTGAGTCCCTCAATAGCAATGGATCTAGTACAATTGTAAGCCAAGTTTGAATCTCATTTGGGTCTCTTTCGTTTCCTATGGGCGGAAACTCAAATTCATATACCTTGAATACTTGTGAAAGTTGGTATACGGGATCAACATAATTTTTGTAGTCCAAATGCGAATGTGAGCAAGCTGCAATGACATGAGAGCATGAATATTTGAGTGCTTGAAAGAAACCACAATCGCACCACCTCTCTTGCAGATTAACTCTGAAAGAGTTAGCTTCAATCCCTTGCAGCGGACGTGGCATTTCGGTTACACGAAACAATTCACGGGTACGAGAAAAATTTGTAACTAACATCTCATTTGATGCAGCCACTTTTTTCTGTAAATCAGCTACTAATCTTGGGTGGTAAATATGGTCGTTTTGCATCCAAGTAAGAGCTTGTCCACCGAGCTTTTCAAAGAGTTGACCCAAACGAAAATAAGTCATTTTAACCAACGCCGTGACTGGTAAATGACGTGCCCCCTTTAAGGTTGAATTTATTGCTTCAGCCAAGTTTGTTGTCATATGACCATAGCGATACCCCCCGTCATACGTATTTGTCCATATTTCTTTGTTGATGTCCATAATGTACTCGCACCCCTTCTTATTTTTGCCAAACAGCTCTTGTAGCATCGACTCAAACCTTTGAGGTAAGAGTTCGTAACCTAAGCCATTAGGAATATGTAATAGTTAATATGAAGTATAAATAAGTAATAAGAAATTGATAGAAAAATTGGGAAAAAGTAACATACCCATCCGCACGACTAACTGACGTTCATCGTTCTTGTATTTTCCGTAATAGTTTGCAGCAATATGACGGACACAATAACGATGTTGAACATGTGGAGGTCTATACATTGTACCCAAAGAGTCCATTGCTGCTTTTATCCCGGCTCCTCGGTCTGAAATAATGCATACTCGTTCCCTGGTGACAACATGTAACGTAAATTTTTAAGGAAAAAAGCCCAAGACTCAGTGTCTTCTCCTTGAACGAGGGCAAACGCAACAGGAAGAATATTGCGGTTTCTATCTTGGACCACAGCCAATAATAAAACTTGCTTGTATTTCCCATACAAGAAAGTACCATCAATTTGGACAACTGGTTTACAGTACTTGACTGCAATAATACACTGAGGGTAAGTCCAAAAGACACGGTAAAATTGACAGCGATCGCGAACCATTCGATCATTCACGTAATGATGTTGAGTTTCTTGGCAAATAATGTTGGAGTCCAAGTTGGGATGATCCTGGTTTACCTCTTGCACAACATGTATGAGGACCGTTGTATCTGGTTAGTTCCCATAAGTTGTTCTTCCTCTTCCTCTTTGATACACGGACCATCCATTGACATCCGTTGTCACGTTAGACACAGTAGCAGACATATTTCTCCGTGTTAGATCGATCAACTTGGGACTGAACTGAGTTACGAATATTGTAACTCTTTATTGCCATCATTGATTCCTCCTTCGATGCGAACTCCATTCCAATATGTAAATTACCGTCATTGACTGATGATTGAAGTCCATAGTTGCCAACATCAGGAAGATCTGGAAATTCAGGCTCATACATTGCATCATAATCATCCTCATACATATGTGCAGGAAGTTCAGCTGGTGTTGAATTTATCGGAACGTCATCCTTGTCATCATCAGAATGTACGTTAAACTGTGGTGAGTCAGGTTCAACGAATAATCCCGTTTCAGCACCATCTGCACCTGCCTCCCGAAGAGGTTCTTCTGGTGGAGATGAGGGTTCCTCCGATAATCCAATGTTGAGGTCAAATAAGTTCCCGCTTGCGTGTCATCCCCTTGAACTTGAGGCCATTGTATCATGTGGGATGTGAATAGACTGTTGTCTCGTTGACATTTCCATATGTAAGTCGAAAACATTGACAGATGAATGTCTTCCCCTTGAAGTAGAAGAGACGTTGCCATATGGATTATTGGTGAAGCCACGTGGGTTGAGATCATAAGCAGTTGCAGATGAATGCCTTCCTATTTAACTTGATGGCATGGCATCTGGCGTTGGATCCGCCATTAATTATGTGAAATCATTACAGATCAGTTGTGTCAGGCTATCAACTTGATCAGCTTGATATGCAATGCCAAAGTGAGAGGAATATGAGAGACCACAAGAAGCACGAACCTCAATAAAAGTGGCATATATTTCAATAAGAGATTGTGAACTCCCTATATGAGCATCAACCATCATAGAAACATCATCATCGTTTGAAAGCTGAAATGATGTATACGTGAGCGGAAAAAGTTCAGTAGGAAATATGTAATGAAGTGAAGATAGTCTTCTGCTACACGAATCTTTAACGAAATTTTTGTGATTAACTCCTCAATTGTGATGTTTCTCTTCAAGGTTAAGGGGATATAATGATCTGACTCAAAAACAACCCCCTGTTTAGCTTCCTTAATTTCTCTATCATACAAAACAACAACAGAAAGACGACTTATTTTTAGAGAATTTGAGAATTTAGAGTTTGGGAATTTGAGAATTTGAAAGCTTGTGAACTGAAGTTTGTTTTGAAAGTTTATAATACGTTGCATATAATAGTGTCTATAATCGGGGTACTATTCATATGAAGGCGCGTTCCCGGGGGCGCGCTTTCCATTATTTTGTCAGAGAATATGTTATCATTGCCCTATTATGTCACTCATGTCCCTCATGGACACTATTCATATCAGTACCTATTATTTCTCAGGGGACTTGAAGGCGCATTCCCGGGGGCGCGCCTTCCATTATTTTGTCAGAGAATATGTTATCATTGCCCTATTATGTCACTCATGTCCCTCGGGGATACTATTCATATCAATACATATTATGTCTCAGGGGACTTGAAGGCGCGTTCCCGGGGGGTGCCTTCCATTATTTTGTCAGAGAATATGTTATCATTGTCCTATTATGTCACTCATTATCCTATTATGTCACTCATGTCCCTCGGGGACACTAGATGGATTGTGAAATCAAGTAAATTATAACCAAAATTTAACTTCTTTTGAAAGTTTAGCAAGTTAAGAATAAATTATACATATAGATTAATTTAAGTTCATAACTTAAATTAAAACTTTATGTGAAGTTTGAATAAATTAGATAAAATGTTATGGATAAATTGAATAAATGTGAAGTGATAAGTTGATTGTGACATTGAAATTGTATGGAATGAGCATCGAGATGTTTTTACGAATAAATGTGAAGTGATAAGTTGATTTTAATGTATACGTTTAATATATGTTAATGATAAAATCATATGTATGGATAAATTTAATTTCAATTTAAGTATTGTGAACTATAATTGGAATATAACTTTTAATTTCGAATACAATTGGAATATTAAGTTGAAATTTAATGTTAAATTTTGAATACTATAATTTATATTTTAATTTTAAATTTCGAATAATATTATTTTTATTTTTAATTTAAATTTCGAATATAATTTGTATTTTAAAAACATTTATCAACATTTAATGTTAAATGTGAATAAAAAATAACATTAAAATATGTATGTAACAACCATGAAACATTTAAATAACATAACCAAATTACAAAATTCTGAAATATAACTATTTAAATAACATTAAAATACAACTGGATCACCGATGTCGTCTTCTCGAATGAGTTCCACATGGCGGTGGTTGTCTATTTCGTGGAGGATTTCTTTGTGGAGCTTGTTCTTCAGTCTCCTCATCTTCACTATCATCATCATCAACATTTTCTTCATTTGGTGTAGATGACGTTGAAGGGGCTGAAGGGCCTGTATAAAATAACGACTCTGAATGAGTGCTAGTAACAATCCCACCGCTCCCCGGGAACTGTGAAAACTATGGAAACATTGGCATCGATGTCTGTGATCCAGATGGAGATTGAGGTATCTGCGGAGAAGCACCACCAGCCAAATAAT